AGGTTTGGCAGGTGCAGGGCTGCTGGGGCAGCAAAGCTGGCAGTGCCAGATTTCTACAATTGAGCTACTAGTACCTCATTGAATGATTTCTTGGTTTCAACATGTTCAAACATTAAACATGACAATTGACAAACATGTGTATAATTTTGAACGAGGGGAGATCACAGGAAGTGGAGTTAAAGGTGATCCCGTTGGGGAGCACTGATAGTTTCAATGACAGTGAACTGGGAATTTTAAATAATCTGTGTTCTTTTTAAACCTGCAAGCAACAGGTGTCCATGAAAGTACCTATTTTATGTGACCTTTCCAGGATACGTTCTTTGTGATTGTTGACGCGTTTAGACTTCCGTTGTAAAAGGAAATAACAAAATAATAAAAGATAAAAGACAACCAGAAAGCAAGAATGAAAGGAACACATCTAACGGGTCTGAAACAAAGAACACCAGAAAAAAGACAAACACACACACACAGTACTCGCCACTTAGTTTCCCGACGTTCTGTTGTACTTCCTTCTGTACGGGGCAACTCCCACTGTTGCTCCACCGTCAAAGTGCCAAGACTTGTGCTCGCTTTGAGTGCTTTGCTGGCTCTTCGCTGGTTGCAGGCCTCTCGGAGAGAGATTCGATCTTCGCTTGCTCCATGCTCTTCTTGGCACTAATGCTCGATGGCATGGGCCTCACTGGGCGGGTATGACAGTGTGGTGAATGTATGACAGGAGACTGAAGGAAGTTGAGAAGGAATGCGTACTACTAGGAGCAAGAAGCTACTGGGGGCTCCTGGCCTTACTACTAGGAGCAAGGACGCCACTAGGGGCTCCTGGCCTTGCTACTAGGAGCAAGGACGCTACTAGGATCAAAGGGCATCGCTACTAACAAGTGCATTACTACTGTTTCCCTTCAGCTCCTTTGAGCAGAATAGGAGGTTCACAGCGGTATGCTTTGTTGAAGTAGACTGAATTGCTTTGTTGGGTGCAACCACAGATGTATTGTGTGGCACCGTAGTACTAAAATTTCTACTTCCCTTTTGTTTTTTGCAAAGCTTGAGAGATCCCGTCTAAGATAATCTAGATGTGTTTCTTATCTCAAAGCTGCTTTTTCTAGCATAGTGATGGCCATGTGCGCCGTCTCACACCATAGGCTGCATTGGCCGAGATGATTGGGCCTTCATCCAGCGAGCTGCCAGGAGTTCAGGGACTACTCCAGGTTAAGACTCACTCGGGCCAGTGGATCCATCATGTTTAATTGTTTACATTTACATTGTAATAATTAGTTTCAATTGACTTGAAAGGACAACGAACATTCTTGTGACTTCAACTTTCGGCAGCGACTGGAATCATCAAATGGGAACAACGTTAGCTTTTTCCCAATGCACTGAGTTGCCTTTTTGGCCATTATCAAGTCAAGCACGCTGTGTTACATTTTTGCCTATAACAGCCACGTAAGGGCAGTAACTATCTTTTGCTTTAGCATTTTTTCCCTTACTACATGTTGGAGGCCATCGATGCCATCGCTAGTAGGTTGGAGGCCATCACTAGTAGGTTGGAGACGCCATCGCTCTTAGGTTGGAGGCCATCGCTCTTAGGTTGGAGGCCATCGCTCTTAGGTTGGAGAGGCCATCGCTCTTAGGTTGGGGAGAGGCCATCGCTCTTAGGTTGGGGAGAGGCCATCGCTCTTAGGTTGGAGACGCCATCGCTCTTAGGTTGGAGACG